AAGTCAACTTCCAGGTCCACCGCCAAGTACGCAGGGGGTGGGGCATGCTCCTGTGGGACACTCGCTCTGCCCCACCATCTCAGCCTTCATAAGCCATGCCTGGTACCTCAATGTATGTAGAAATAACATATAAAGCTGTGTCTATGGCCGAATCACTGATTCATCGCATCAGAATCGAATTGGGACAGTGATCCAAATCAGCAAATTGAATCACTGTCCCCTGAATTGGGCCAAATCCAAGTTCCACTACACAAACCACTATTTTATATATATATATATATATATATATGATAAGAACACAGGAAGAAGTGGGACTACAGTGCAGTAGGGATCGAGTAGAGAACAAAGATCATCTAGGTAGGTGCCAGAAACTAAGTGAATACTTTGCTAGGTTTTCAGTGAGGCTTATGAAAGTAAATGTGAGAGTCAAGTCATGGTGGCTAATGGGAAAGAGGGTCCAAAAAGAGAAATTGCTACAGTTATTGGGAAGAGAGAGCTCAAAGGGACATCCATATGAGCACAAACATGCAGTATGTGGTGCCACAGACCCATCAATGGCCACACATGCCACACATGCAGGCATTCCCACACTGCTAATTTGTAATGCAAATGGGTTGAATCAGGTAGGTGTTGACAATGGGAAATTCCAGTATCAAAAAAACCTGCAGCAGAAGAAAATGGGGCGCTGCACATGGCAGCAGCATGCACTGCCTGAGACCAGATGCCAGCTGGCCAGAGCCACACTCTGGCTGTCAACCAGGCACTCTGCTGCTGGGTTGCCACTGCTTCACCTCTGGGAAGCTCCCAGGACCCCAGGTAAGGCTTCTGGAACCAGCCCCAGTACTGGCCACAGCCTTCCCTCCCCACTCTCCCCAACCCGGGCAATATGCTGTGTGCCAGAGTGCATGGGAAGCTGGATAAAATGCAAGAGGTATTTACTAAAGATTCATTAGAACATGCATGTGTGTTTCCCAGGGCACAAATAGTGACACATAGTTGTTCTGCTACTACTTGTCCCCAGGGAATGTCCCTACATGCATGCTCTGGCATGTGGCAAATTGCCCCATGTTGATTTGGGGAGGTTGGGGCCAGCACCTGGGCAGCCTTACCTTGGCTTTGGGACCACCCCAGGACTCCAGTGGTGGCAATCTGGGTATGTGGAGCCTGGACACGTGGATCTCCTAGTGTCAAAAAAACCTTTTGTGCTGCAAGTTAGCAGCATGGTGAATGTGTGCTTATGTGGTGATTTCAGTTTGTGGTGCTACAGATGGATTTGCAGCACTGCAGACTGCACCTTCACACTCATCTGGATGTGCTGATTGTGTCAGACTAGTTCAAGGTCTAGTTATTTGCTATGATAACTGGAGTTTTTTGAAACATAGGAAATGGTGTCCATCAAATCTGTCTAGATTTCAGTAAAAGCGTTTAACACAGTGTGGGCATGTCTACACAAGATGCTTAACTGCACAGTAGCTTAGTTTACTGCAAAGTAAACATGTGTCTCTACACGTGCACATGCTTACTACACAGTAAATCTCACTAATCCCTCCCCTGCAGTCCCTCCCCTGCAGCTCTTTCCAAGCCCCCTGCCCCTTATCAGGGAGCCAGGACCAGGAGCTCCATGCTGCTGGAGCAGGGGGACATTGTCCCCACCCCAGCAGCAGGCAGCCCCAGGTGGCAGAGTATCTGTTATGTCCCAAACCCAGCCAGAAGACAGATGTCTCCTGGTCCAGTGCTCCCTTCCAGCCTTTGGGCTAGCACCCAGGGAGAGCCTAGAGCTCCCTATGGTGGCACCAGGGACCCATTTCAGGGTCCCAGGAAGCAGTACCAGTTTGCTGCCATTAGCAACAGATCTTCTCCCTAGTCCCTGCATGTGTAGATGCCTGCCTGGCAGCATTTACTCATGAGTAAACTGATCCCAGATCAAATGCATGTGTAGATGTACTGTTACAATGAAAAGTAAGTTGAACATTAGTAGAAGAATTTTAAGGCAAGTAATGAAGTGGTTACTGGGGAGATAACAATGGGTAGTTTTGAAAAAAAAAGTACAAGGCTGGAGGGAGGTTACTGGATGATTTAAAAGGTGATTTTATATCTTTGCATGGAAGCTATTATGGAAATGCAATAAGTTACTGGTTATTTTTTAACTGTTTTTCTATTGTTAAGATGGCCATTGCAAGCATTACTTAATCATTAATGGTTGACAAAAAGAAGGGAAAATTAGATACCACGTTTTATTGATATCAAAATACTAAGCTCTGCACTATGTGACTTATGGGAAATTTAACTTTCCTTTTGCTGGCAGATGGTTTATTTCTCTTCTTATTTTCTAGGTTGCCCAGTAGATGGTCATCCAACCCCTAACATCACCTGGTTTTATGCTGGTCAGCCCATCAGCATTAAACACCACATCTTGGCAGCTGGTCAGATTCTTCAGATATTAAATATCACTGACAGTTATCAGGGTGAATTCAGCTGCCTTGCACAAAATGAAGCTGGCTCACTGATGCAAAAAACATCTCTTATAATCCAAGGTAAAAATATGGTCAGGGTGCTACCGTTAACCTGGCTTATCATCATTTTCCATTCCTTTACCCTGATGCCAAGAGTAGTAGTTGCAGTATTCAGTTGTTCTGGTGCTTTAGCCACTAAGGATAAATTAGAAGACAGGTCTACTAAGGGCACAGACAGGAGAGTAGTTCTCCACGGTAACTCATAACACTTTGCAGGAAGTGTTCTGAGCTACAATGATCCCCCAGACCAAATGGAAGTTCACTGTTGGGTCAAGAGGGAAGCAGGGATTGGGGAATCCAGCTGCTGTCTGCAAGCCTGCAGCCAGTTTTCCCTAGCAGAAGCCCCTCCTCCCTCCCAGCCCTGGCTCTCTTTTCAGAATGGAAGGGGGAAAAGGGAGAAGAGGGAGCTCATTTTAGGACCCCATAAGAGTGGCACCAATCCACCCACCCTACCCTTCAGCACCAGATGAGGGTTGTCTCTATCCCAAAATATCTTTTTGGACTGGAGACACTTTATTTGAAGTGAAATTATTTTGTGACCTCCTTTCATTTACTATGAGATTTAGATGTGCCCATGAGATTTATCAGGGGTACCAGTGATAACCATGACAAAGCTACATGTTGTATTGCCAGGTTTGTTCTGAGGTTAATAACTAAGACATGGCCTTGTAGGATAAGAGAATGCAGGGGAGTAGGGGTGAGATTTTCTTTGTTTTAGATTTCAGTAATATTTTCCACACCTCTGACTCACTTTAATGAATCTCTTGAGGGTCATGAATCATCAGCTGAGAAACAGTGACCAAAGTTGTTGTTGTTGTTAATATATGTATTTGAATTGGAATTTGAAAGCATCACTTTAGATTGCTAACAGTCTACAGATTAATTTTACTAGTTGATCTTTTCATAGATTCATAGATGCTAGGGTTGGAAGGGATCTCAACAGATCATCGAGTCTGACCCCCTGCCTAGGCAGGAAAGAGTGCTGAGGTCAGATGACCCCGTAATCGCATACTACTTTTCCTCTTCAGAACTTAATTTTTGGGTATCATTTGCCACTAATTTTAGATTTAGATTTTGAATAAGTTTTGCAAGTTACAGGTAGGTTTGCAAAGGAGGGCATTAAATATCTACTATCTACCTGCAGTTGTGCCCCTTGATAGTCTCTCACTGGAGATTCAGCTATATGACACCAAAATCTCCTGTGCCTCAAAATTACTGGGTGTTTTTCATATATCCAAGAATTAGTAATATTAAAAATATACAGTTAAAACCAAAATTATCACTTTTTCCCACTATTATATATAATATTTTACAATAATAATATATATTGTGCATTGCATATACTGTAAACAAAGTCCTTCCACTTTCCAAGTGCCTTGAAAACTTGTGGGTGAACTGTGCTGTATAGAAATCAGGTGGGAACAACTCTAAATATTCAGTTCAGACATCATATTTTGTTTGAGTGGATCTGAATTTCCTGGTTTAACTGGCATAAAAGCATATTATCAACTAGTTTAAATCAATATAATTCCATTAACTTAATGGGACTGTACAGTTCTACACATTTGTGTGTTAGTTATATCAATTCTCTTTTAAATTTCTTGAAATGACTTCATAAGTGTATAGAGGTTAGTATTTTTTGTTAAATTCCATTGGATGATTCCATTAAGTATCATGCAGGATTGCTATAAAATATCCCCCAGAGCCTGTATGTATCTGTCCCTCTCTCCATTACCATAGTATCTGATCATCTCTTTCTCATAATGAAAGAGCTTTTATCCCCATTTTAGAGCTGGAACACAAGCACAGAGAGACCTGAGTGATTTGGCTATGGTCACACAGGAAGTTTGTTGCAAAGTAGGGAATTACAGTCTCCCAAAGTACAGAGAACCCAAGTAACTATAGGCCTGTAAGCCTCACCTCAGGAAGATCTTGGAGAGAATCATCAAGGAGCACATCTGTGGGGGGCCAGCAGGGGAGGTCATGCTCATGGGCAATCAGCATGGGTTCATCAAAAGCAGGTCCTGCCTGACCAACCTGATTGCCTTTTATGACCAAGTAACCAATCCTTGGATGATGGTGTCACAGTGAACATAGTCTTTCTAAACTTTAAGAAGGCCTTTGACACTGTCTCTCACCTCATCCTCATCAATAAATTAAGCAACTGTAGCATTGATGCCTACACAGTTGGGTGGGTAAAAAATTGGCTGATGGGGTGCACCCAGTGAGTAGTGGTGGACGGGTTGTACTCAACCTGGCGAGATGTGAGCAGTGGGGTACCCTAGGGCTCGGTCCTCGGGCCTGCACTGTTTAACATCTTCATTAGCGACTTGGGCGAGGGGGTGGAAAGCATGCTATCCAAGACATACTACAAAAGTGGGAAGATGAGAATAGGATGGGGTTCAGCGTAGATAAATGCAGGGTGCTGCACCTTGGGAGAAGGAATCCACAGCATACATACAGGCTGGGAAGTTCCCCTCTTGAAAGCACAGAGGCAGAACAGGATCTTGAAGTTGTTACTGACTCCAAGGTGAACATGAGCCGCCAATGCCAGACCGCAGCCAGCAAGTCTAGCCATACCTTGTCATGCATCCGAAGATGCATCTCAAGCTGGCCCAGAGAGGTGATACTCCCCCTCTATGCGACTTTGGTCAGGCCACAATTGGAGTACTGCGTCCAGTACTGAGTGCTGCACTTTAAAAAGGATGTGGCCATCCTGGAGAGGGTTCAGAGGAGGGCCACCTGTTTGGTGAGAGGGCAACAGGACAGGCCCTATGAGGAGAGACTGAGGGACCTGAACCTGTTCAGCCTCAGCAAGAGGAGGCTGAGGGGGGACATGGTGGCTGCCTACAAACTCATCAGGGGAGATTAACATCAAATAGGTAGAGCCCTTTTCTCCCCTGCACCACCTGGGGTAACGAGGAACAATGGTAATAAACTGATGAAGAATAGGTTTAGGTTAGAGATCAGAAGGCAATATTTTACAGTTAGGGTGACCAAAATCTGGAACCAACTTCCCAGGGAAGTGGTCTTTACCCCTACCTTGGGCAAATTCAAGAGGAGGTTGGATGATCACCTGTCTGGGGTCTTGTGAACCCAGCATTCATTCCTGCCTGTGGCAGGGGGTCAGGCTAGATGATCTGTTCAGGTCCCTCCTGACCCTAGCTACTATGAAATCACAGTCTAGTGCGCTAATAATTAAAGGAGCTGAAATCACATATCACCTATGTTGTTTCTTATATAGATAAATACATGGCAAAGCTTTTGCCATATTAAAAAAGACAGTGACCTAAGCAGTATAGAATTTCCTCATGCTTTGTAGGAAGAATACTTTTCCCAAACATGGGGCATCTATTCCAAATATTTATTAAGAGTAATTTTGACTTGAAAGACATCTCCAGAATGATGATAGAGTCATCTAGTTCTGTTATTTACTAACAGGCTTTTACAGACAGTTTTTAAATGTTAATTTTGGTGTCTTATGGTTGTGACAGAATATTGGTGGTCAGTGGACAAGATGATGGCATGCTCAGCTTCCTGTGGTAACAGAGGGGTACAGCTACCTCGACTCCGGTGCTTACTAGATGGGACAGAGGTCAACATATCCCTCTGCAAAGAGAAGCCCAAGCCAATGCTACAACCCATTGCTTGTAACAGAAGAGACTGTCCTTCCAGGTTCGTCTTTGCTCGGTTGATATGCCATATATCCTTTTAACTCTACACTGGACAACAAATTATCAGCTTTTCCAGGGTTTGTCCAGGCAAAAAGTCTTGACTAACAGCAAGGATTAGAGAAAACATTAATGGTATGAGGCGGAGCTGGACTCTACTACTTCTATTAGAGGGGATTGCCCACAGTTCACTATTAGAAACGTATAACAATACACACACCCATAACACACACGCTTTGGTTAATCCACAAGGTGCAAATCTACTCTGCCTTCTAATCTAGAGGGGACAGTTTTCCTCTGTGCTTCAAACCTCATTAGTTATCTGAATCTTTGTCAACTCCAGACTAATTGTGTACTGTTTGGAAGAGTGACAGTGCCTTTCTGTTTGTCCAACAACTAGGAAAGATGGTCTTGGTTCTGGATGGGATGCTGTTATGGTATAAATACATTTTTTGTCTCTCTGTCTCTGCCAAGGAGAAGCAGATTTTAGGGCCTTGAGGTCAGTTTCTCACTGGGAGAGAAATAAGTGGGGTGGAACCTGGTAGACCCCAACTCCATGCGGCACCCAACAACTAGGGAGATGATGATCCAATTGCTCATGGATCCTGTTACTCATTAGCCAGAGCAATCAGGGAGTGCGCGTTGCTCACAACAGCTTTATTCAGAATGGGGACAGCTTCGGACAAGGGTCCCAAAAAACTAACAAACCGGGGGCCTGCACTGAACAATAGTTCTTTTCACATTTTATACACCTTGGTTCATACATATTAACATTTGTTCCACCTCTGTTCCTCATTCTGTTCCACCCATTTCTCCTCCCATCTCAAGCTCCTCCTCAGTTTACTGTTTACTTCATTAGCATATAATTGCCTGTGCCTTTTATTCATTTACATGCCTCTCTGCTAGGAGCGCATGCGTAAGGCCATGAACTCGGGTACTCTTGGTCAATCGCTGTTTTTTTCTGTTTTTTGCTGACTCCTTCATCTCTAAGGTCTTGCTTCTGCTTTATCTCCTGATGATAGCAGGTGGGCTGCATCTTGTTCTTCTTACACAGCGGGCTCTAACATTACAACTTGGTTTAGAAAACTGCTTGCCTAAGCATTTGCAAGGTTATTCTTAATACATCATTCTGCCTTGTGACCAGCAGCTCTGCTGAGATGCAGAAAAAAGCCTTAATTCAGCTGCATGCTCAGTGCTCCCCAAAATTCATTACCCTAACAGAACCTATGTATTTTTTTAGAGTAACTTGTTTTGTTTTCACTGCATACACCAGACCTAGAATAAAGGTAGTCAGAAATAGCATGTAAACAAATCCATGTTTCAGAAATTTAGCCCCAGCAACATTGCTCAGGCACTAAGAAGCAACTCTTCCCTATGAACTAAGAGAGTAAAACAGAGCAAACTCTTCTCTCATCTGTAGTGCCTTCTGAAAGAAAAAGTACCTCCTAAAGTTAATAATACATCATTTTTCAAAGATGCACTAAGAAGCACTTGCAAAACCATGTGTAACAGTGTCAACTAGTGATTTCTCCAAGATTGGTAGTAGAAAGTTATTATGCGATGGCACATTTCATAATATATCTTTTCTGTGCTCCTTTCCATGAGCCTTAAAATTTTTTAACCTCAAGGGTGTTCGTGTAGAAAAGTAAGAACTGACATTAATGCCAGGAGAGTTTGCAAATCCATGAATGGTAACCAGCTTGCTAATTGTTTCCAACCCACCACAGTCTCTAATGCCCGCAGGTTTTGGTACAGGACAAAACCTAGCCCACAGTCTCCTGTCATTGTCCAGAAAGTTCATTCCCTCCCCAGCTTTTAACAAGCCTTAGTTCTGCACTGCAGTGGCTCCTCACTCAAGACTTCTGTGCAACAAATCTTCTATGCAAAAACTCTTTTCCTGCTTTTTTTTAAATATCTGTCTTGCTCAACTTTTGCTTCTACACAAAAACAAGGTGCACTGGACAGTTGTGGTGATAGGACTAGTTTCTGATCACAGTGACACAAGGGAATACTCAGTGTAACTCCACTAACCTCCGCAGGTTAACCCTGGTTTTGTAGTTGTATATTTGAGATAGGCATCAGTTTCTGACACCCAGAATTCCGCTGAGTAGTAGAAGGAGTCTTGGGCTAGGGACAGACATTACGCATAAACCAGTTTAAGTGATCAGAAACTCATTTAACCCTGTAACAGAAAAGTGCACATAAACCAGTTTAAAACTGGCTGAAATAATGGCCATTTTGAGATAAACCTTGTTGAATGTAGTATCAGACTTAACTGATTTGGCTCAAACCAGTTTATGCAATGTCTGTCTCAGACCCCTTGCTGGTTTAAGATAAACCAGACTCTCCCAGCATCCCAGCATGCTCTCTGGGCTGGGCAGGGGTCTCTGCTCTACACCAGGGCTGCCCCCTCCGCTCTGCTCCTTGGCTACAGCTACAGCAGGGACTGCAGGCTGCTCCCCTCTCCCCATCACCACTCCCTACTAAGCAGGAAACCCCCACTTCCCTCTGCCTTGTGGAGAGGTGTCAGTCTATTAGCTAGCAGACCACATGCTGGCTACAGTTCATGCTGAATCAACAGGCAGAATCAGCAGGTAACTGGTAATGTCCCTCTGTTGTTTTCTTACTGGGGTGATAAACACTGTTATCAATTCCCTGCTGGTGTAATCAGAGCATCCTGCCAGGGTCTGGCCATGCCGCCCCTCAACTTAGCGCTGAACAGGGGAAGGGAGGGCTGCTCTAGTGCCCCCAGCTTTTAGCCTGGCCCACTGCAGGCACATGCCTGCATCTCTGGGATGTCTGTCTGGTTACAAAACTGATTTAGCCTAGCCAGGTTAAACTAACCTGCAAAGGTTGAATCGTTTCAGGCTCAGACTTTTTGAATGTCTATCCCTAGCCTTGATGAAAACAAAGCAGCCAGCTTTTCAGGAATCTGCTCTAACTGTGGCTCAGGCCGATGGCAGGGCTGCCATTTCAGTACCTTTCTGTGATGTATTGCTGTACCTCTCTTTGGGCAATGTTTTCGGGCCTGCCAGCTAAGTCATAAGAAGCAGCTGAAACCAGGGGAGACTTGATGAAATATGAAACGTGCTCATTAATATTTGCAGTTTGACTTGCTGATGGGAATATTTCCACAGGAATGATGTATGTCCTTTTATCCCCTTTCTGAGATGTAATGAAGTCCACACTTCTCTCTCCCAGCTCCCAAGAAAACTGCTGAAATGTATGTTTGGAAATAAAAGTTGGTTGAAGCACAGGGCAGAGCTTTACAAGGGGCAGAGAAGCTGCAAGTTCAGCCTTGCCAGACTACAGGAAACAAAGAAGAGAAATAAAGTTTCCCCTTTGCTGAGAGCTTGCTTATTTCCTTATTTTATTTGATGTTACTTCCTGATTTTGCAATAGTGGGGAGTAATCAGAAGCAGAATGCTGGTGAAATATAGTGAATGCCTTTGCATGAGTAGAAGGGGTCCAAAGGATTGGAATGTACCCATTGTCTAGGGTGTAAAATAGCCATAAGATGCTGGTGTTCAGGGAGATGCTGAGCTTTCCCCCATAACCCATAAATCCTGCTAAATAGCTTGAATTCTGCTTGAGCCATGGTCCTGAGTTGACCTAAAATCCTCAGAGAACTGATAATCACTTGGCTCCCTCCTTTCCCCAGCCTCTCTCCAAATATTGTTTTGCATATTGCACCATTGCATTAGGAAGGGGCTTCCTTTGTCTCTTCTCACTAAAAGCTTGGTTTCTTCCAGCACATAAGCCCAGCTCCCAAAGAGTTTTGGTATCCCCATTAGCCTCAGTGCTTACACAGGGACATGGCCACAGTTCACTGCTGTCAAAGAATGCACCTTTCTCAAATGTTCCACAAAGCAGATCTAACAGCCAGCAACGAGCTGCAAATCACACAAGCAGGAGAGCATTGTTGTTTCATGTTATCCAGAGCATGGAAGACAATGACTGATCTCTAAGCAATAAAATAACTGTGTTATCCCCATCTGTAGCTGGTGATGAGCTGATCTCTGATTTTATCATCTTTGTTATTATTTTGTTAATTTTAGTGCCTTTTAAAAATGAACTCATGTTTGAGTTCAGATGCTCAGTTTCAGCCCTGGGATGCACAGTCCATCTTGGGAGGAAAGGTGCAATGATGCCCTTCCTGCTTCCCCATTTTTGAGTTCCCTGAGCACCAGTCCAACCCCATAGAACAAGGGTAGCCTGAAGATGTTTTAAATGATCCTGACTGCCAATGAGAAGGTGCAGGGACCAGGAGTCAGCAAGGGCTGGGAAGGCATCAGCATGCCCCCAATGTCCATAGCAAAATGGGAAGTGGCTTGGGAGTTGCCAGGCTAGCTTTATATCAGTAGGATACTGAAGTAATTCTTAGATAGCCAGTTACACCACCAGGAAATGGAACTCTATTAGAAATAGCTACTTGTGTTTTACAAACAAATCCAAGGGAAAAGCAGAATAATATACCTTACAGACCCATTAACCTTAGCAGAGATTCTTATGTGTAACAGATATTGCTTTCTAGAGAATACACTCATATGAGGTGTGGAATTTCCTCCGCTCCCCTTTCACCTCCATGGAAGCTGAGGACACTCAGCACCTCTCGGCCTGGCTATCTTTCTTGAAGTACATATGTGAGTTGAGGGGAGTTGTATTCTGTAGTATCCGTGATTCTATTTCTTTTGCCACTCATGACTCTCTACTGTGTTTCTGCTCCCTAACCTCCTTTGCACTACTTCATCAGGTGGATGGTGACATCTTGGTCCCTTTGTACTCAAAGCTGTGGTGGAGGGGTCCAGACCCGCCGGGTGACGTGCCAGAGACTGACAGCTGCAGGGAGCTCTACCCCCATGTCGAACGATGCATGTGCCCAAGTGGCTAAACGGCCAGTGGACACCCAGTCCTGTAACAGGCAACCATGTATGGAGTGGGTGGCCTCCTCCTGGGGCCAGGTAAGGACCAAATAGAAAATGCAGACACACACACATGCTCTTGTTTTGCAGGGTGGCAACTGACAATGAAAGCAATGCTTCTGCATCCAGCATTAATATGGTGTGTGAACGGTTAAGAGGCAGCTGAGCTCCTGACAGCCTACAGCCTCATGTTTTATACATGGGATTATTGGTATAACCAAACATCATGAATTTCACAAAGATAGCAGGCTGATACCATGCAGGGGCATTTTCAGTTGAATTGTCCCAGATGGGCACTGTCTTGAGCACAGAAGCACACTGTCTCGAGGAGAGCTTATGGAGGGAACATGTCTTAGTCAGGCATAACCAACTGCAAGTTTCCTGATGCTTGTTAAGGGAGGGGGGAAAAATGCATCCCCTGGGTTGGAGCAGCCTGTTTTCACACCCTCTTCAGTGTGCCAGACTGTTCTGCATTGTAAGCCAAATGTGGCCCTACCTTCTCCTTTCCCCATCTCCTTGGGGCTGATGTGCATGCTTGAGGAGAGTCAGTTGAAAATAGTCTCAACACTTCTCCAGGTGCAGCAACCGTGCTTGTGACTGGTTCTTGCCTGGGGCTGAGAAATGCTCCCTGCCTTGTCTCTTGTATGATGAGTTGTGTACTTATTAAAGGCTGGTTGCACCTAGCCCTTTGCTTCCCTACTCTTCTTTCAGTCCCTCTCTGCAGTTATTTACACTGATGAACATAACCCTGGCAAGTTCATAACCCTTTTCCTGAACAGGTGCAGTTTGGACATTGGCAGCAAAAGTCTCCTCAGGCTGCTGAGCCAATGTCTCAATATGGGTTGAGAAAAGTCAGTCTCCATGAGAGAGAGGTTTGGTCAGCTGTCATGGCCCATTCAATCCTTGCTTCCGCTGCTAAAACTTTTCTTTGCATATGAATGTAAGGAAGCCCACATTCTTCTAAACTTTGAATATCTGGGTTATGCAGCATTTAATGTTCCTTTCATTCAGCATTCCTTTCCTGGGCTGACATGTAGGAGGGTCTCTTTATAAAGCCCCAAATTTGCAAAGGTTTCGTGGTTGCCTGGGATCTTGTGAAATCCAGGTCACTTGAACTGGTACACAAAGGAAAGTGTCACACAAGACTAGATTCAAATCATTTTAAGAATTCCATACATTAATTTGAAAATTCTGAAACTCTCACTACTTTACATAGTCCTCAGGCATTCCAAAGGTTTCTGTAAGCTGTAAATAATTCATAATACTATGTGTGAAATCCTCTTCTTGTGGAGACCCTGGGGTCTTTCATTCTATGGATCCCTCCACACTAGCAAAGCTCCTAGAAGAAGTATGTACTTTGGTTGCAGCCCACATGCAGGCAATGTGATACCATTCAACCTGCACTCATTCAATAATGGCTGGGCCACAATTAAAGGTTACTGAGACTGCAACAGTCTAGGCCTACAGAGCTAATAGTTGTAGCCAAGGCAGAGGCTTGAATCCAGACGTTCTCCTGTTCAAGTCCTTACCTAGGGGCGTAGACTGAATCAAAAACAGGCTTTAATCCAGAGGGGCTAATTTGCTTTGCTTTGATGCGTTAGTCAAATATTTTAATGTCACTTTTGGCAGGAAAGACATTTTTGATGAAAGAACAGTTTATCTGTAGCAAAGCTGAAGTGGTCATATCTTTCAATCAACATCATAATAGTATTGGTCAGGCCTTGATAAGGAAACAAGTTTAGTGAAAGCCACCAAAAGGCTATTGAAATTATTACATAGCATCAGTGTTGTATATACAATGATGACATTATCCTCAGTAATGTCATCATTATATATTTTGTAGTCTTTCACTGCATGGTAGGACAATTGGAAAGCAATGGTAAATAAAGTATACTATCTCATTCTGTTACGTCTCACATGGCAATGTGATGCTATGTCTCAATTAGTCATACTCTTTTCTAAATATAGTCCTGAACACAAATTTAAAAAGCCACTTATTAAGCAGCATGCAACACTGGCCAGTTTGCTTAATCAAAAGTAATAATCAATGTTACAAAATTTTAGTGGAACAAAATTTATTGCAATGCATTCAGTGGTTTTAGCAAAATAACCATTTCTGTTGATCATCTGAAACTAACTGCATGTATGTTTTGGAAGAAATTGATTCAGAAAATTAGACTGAGTTATCATGAAGTGTATATGATTAAAGACTGCAGTATTCTTTTAAAAAAAAGAAGCAAATTGCTCAATTTGTACTTCCTTTGGAATTTCAGGTAAGGATTGCATAACTCTTGCTGTTGGCCGGTTACCTTGCAGGGGTGGTTTTATCTCCCTGGTGGTTTATGTCATTCCACATGATGTCATACCCAGTCTAGATTGTCAGAGGCATGAATTCATCTGTTACATCTGACCTTTGTGCTTTTCAGTATAATATTTCTCCCACCTGAAAAAAAAATTCTCAACATCCATGTAAACCTAGACTGCTCAGTTCCAAGCCATGACTACAAGACAATTATTTAATTACAATTAAGAATAGCACATTGGCTGCGGATCAGTGACATTTCACTATTGTATTACAGAGTTTACCCAAGGTGTCGTCAGGTTCATATTGACCAGGTTCAGTGATTAGCTTCCCCAAACTATAAAGAAAATAAAAAGATGACTTAATCCTCTCCAAAACTAATTCCTTGCTTTTTTCTCCCATCTTCTTTCATTTGCTGCAAGCAAATCACTGTAGGCTGTTTGACCTCCAATGTCTGAGTTTTCTTCTAATCAGTGCTTCAAAACAAAAATTCCCATTGACTCAAGTTTGTGGGTGATGAACACTGCCAGCATGTACATATCTTGCCCATGCTCTGCCTACTCAAATGAATGTCTTCTCTATGCACCTTTTCTCAGTATGGGTCTGACCCAGTGTCCAATGAAGGCATTTGAATGCCTTGTATTGACTTGCTTCTCTCTCTTCCAGCCCTCAGGGAAGTGAAAACCAACAGCAGGAAAGGGGGCTGTGTGAGGAGGCTCTGCAGGGGCAAAAGAGTTTCTGAGAGGAAGAAGATAAGAGAGGTTAGGACTACAGTCAGGAAAAATCCCTGCCCACTAGTGGTATCCTCACCTTCATGTCCATTCTTTTCCATGTCCCAAGCAGCAGGACCCTACTGGAAACAGTAGAGATTGACTGCCTAGAAATCAAGCAGGTTAATGAACACTTAATGAAATGGTGGTCCATATCTTGGCTGTCTGTGATTTAAACTAGGAAGAGGAGAAGAATATTAAATTGCAGTGTGCAACTGGTGAATTTGAGTCACTAGGTGTTGAAAAGCCTTGCTGATCCGCTATGTTCATTAGGTTTTTCATTCTAATTTATTATTGTGCAATGTTTTTAAATTGTTAATTTAAGGAAAGATGTTCTTGGTCTGATTCTCATTTGTTGTTAGCCACTGGCCTATAAATTGTGAGAGTACAAGCTGTAACATGCACAGCAAAAGGAATACAGCAAGAATTCCTGTATGAATCACAAGCTCTGCAAAAATAGCATAAAAGAGCATTTTATTTGGTCAAACAGGTGGATTTAAGATTGAAATATTGGAAGGGAAGGGGAATAAATGTACAGAGCGATACAGAAATTAGTTTTAATGCTGCCTGAGAGAGGCTAAATGGGATACAAGATGACTGCACACTTGATCTTGAAAGCCTACCGGCTGGTATAAAATGATTGAGAGCATCTACCTCACAGTGACACTCACCTTTGTTTATCTGCTCCTAGAAAGAGCTTCAGAAAGTAGGCTACATGCTGTCCCTTTCTTCCACTGAGTGTATTATTTCTATATTCACAGTGTAATGGGCCGTGTATTGGACTGCGATTGGCTGTGCAACATAGAAAAATCTTTTGTCAGACCAAAGATGGCACTTCTGTTTCTTCTGATCAGTGTAGTGCCCTGCCAAGGTAGAAGTGAAATCTTTCCTCACTATAACCACTGTTTTATACAGAAATTTATGACTGGGATGAATATCTTTACAGTTATCTTTTGGATTTAGGGGCTTGATTCACTTAACAGGAAAAATATGTTGCAGTCAATGGATATATGTGTAAGAATGGTGTGACAGGAGACTTAGGCTCACAGTGGTTTTAAGGCCATCTCTTCACAGAAGGCGCAGATTTGCCCTTCTAGTGAACGTGCATCCCACATGACCAAAAACTGTCACAACTAGCATTAATCGGCCAGCAACTGGCAAACTTGGTAGGGATACCAAAGACTCTTTGGAGACAGAGGCTAAAAACAGACATCATTTTGGCTGTAGTATCGGCTGTACCAGGATATGTCCCAGCAGAGCTGACCTGCTTCATTAGGTAACACAAAAATCGCCCATTGTCCTACAGGTTTGGATCCCTGCTGTTCCCAGGGGTCCAATCCTGTGGGACAGCTACAAATAGGGGAGCCCTAGGTTCTTCACTTGTAGATGCATATCTCGAGTCATGGTGCAATAGCACAATGTGCTTGCTTCCACAAATAAAGACATCCAGGCAGGCACTCCTGGGCCTTCAGGGGCCCAATCCAATGCAGCTAGAGGAGTTCCAGAGTACACAGGATCAGGCCCTGAAGCCCTAGCAGCGCCCAAAATAGCAGCATAGATTAATAGTACCTTTTATCACAGCCAAAAATGTGTGCATTTGTGGCAAGTTCGCTTTTGCTTTGTGGCACCATAAAAATGTTTATGATGGCACAAAGACAATGTCTGTTTCTAGCCAGATTTAACAAATCATTCTAGAAGAGAGTTAAGATCACCTTGTTGCTGTCTTTAATATAGTTCAGTCTCCAGAACTGCCAGAGTGGCAAATCCCATGAGCTGTAAATTAAAAACAAACAGAAAGAACTTACGCTTTTCTGCAAAAAATTTGAGCTGAAAATCAGTGCATACCTCAAATCATGATAAAAATAATCTAATAGGTTTCTTGGCTCATAATCTCAATATTTCCTCTGTACAACAACTAAATGAGAACCAAGCATTCCTGGCTATTATCTGATAGCGTGTACAGAAGGAAAAAGTTACATTGGGGTCACAGGTTTTTGCTTATGCCATCTGTCAAACTATTACAAAGAAACCAGAGTGTTGGGTTTATAAGCAATGCAGGTTTGCTGGTTTTTATTAGTCACTTCTTTGTTCATGACAACTCTTCAGTGTATCTGTAAGCAGCATCTGATTGTTACATGCTTTATGGATAGAAATAAATGCTAAAAATAATTAGGTGAGATCCTCAATGGATGTAAAGTGTCATATAGTTCCAGTAATCCCACTGGACCTATAGCAGTTTATATATCTAAACTAAGGACTTGGTCCTCTGAGCCTAGCTATGTTGTTGTAAGTTGAAGTCAGTGAGCCAGAGCTTTATCATAGTCTAGTGGTTTTCCATCTAGTGGTCACTGGGAGTCCACAGACTATGTCTAAGGGATCCACAAAAGATGACTATGATCAATCAAAAGCATGTAAATACACACTTAAAATTCATAGGGCTCCGCACCTCCATTTAAAATTTCCAAAGGGGTCTGCAAATGGAAAAAGGTTGAGAACTAGGGCTGTGCAAAACAGCACCATTTTGTTTCAATGTCCATTTCACCATTTCAAAGGGACAGTGTTTCATTTCATCATTTCATTTAATTTTAAAGCACTATTCCATTCTGTTTCATCAAAAATGTTTAGCTGTTTCAACACGTTTCATCATTTTGCCCATAGGCTATAATGGAAAATCATGAAAATGCCTAAGCCTTTGTCATTTCTTGCCTGATTTGGATGAAAAAAGCCCATTCTGAGGGCATGAAGCCTGCCAAGTTTCAAGGAGATAGGTGTAGAGGTTTCTGGGAAACTGAACCTCACATTGTTCAAAGCAAAACTCATGACACTTGCCAGCAGCAGCAGCCTCCTGTCATCCGGCGTGTAGATCCGGGGGCCTGCATCCCCGGGAGGAGTCTGGCACAGTCCCGCAGCCATCCTGGGGATGTGGGCCCCTGGATCTGTGTGCTGGATGAGAAGAGGCTGACACTCTCACCTGGGACCAGTGCTGGGCACAGCACCAAGATGATAGCCCCAGGCAACAGTGGCAGCCTCCTGTCATCCACCCTGCAGATCCTGTAGCTCGCACAGCCTCACAGTCTTCCTGAGGGTGTGGGCCCTCAGGAGGCTGCCACTGGTGCCTGAGACTGGCACTGGGCGCAGCCTATGCCCAGCACCAGCAAGAATGCTGCTGCCGCTGGCCCTGGGAAGCAACAGCAGCCTCCTGTCATCCAGTGCACAGATTCAGAGGTCTCCTCCCCTGGGAGGAGTCGGGCACAGCCCTGCAGACCTCCCAGGGCTGCGGGCTGCTGGATCTGTGCACTGGATGACAGGAGGCTGCCACTGATGCCTGTGCCCAGTGCCAATCATAGGTGGCGGCAGCAGTCTCTTTGGATCTGTCACACAGATCTGGGAGCGCACAGCTCTGCAATCCTCCCAGGAGCCTGCCACTGCTGCCTGGGGCCAGTGGCAGCAGCAATTTCCCCAGCGCCAGTCCAAGCTGGCAGTGGCAGCTTCCTGTCATCCAGCATTGCAGATCCAGGGGCCAGCACTCCCACAGGGCTGCAGGCCTGTGCCAGACTCCTCCTAGGGGTTCAGGCCCCCGGATCTGCGTACCAGATGACAGGAGGCTGCTGCTGCCAGCTGAGACCAGCACTGGGCACAGCCCATGCCAAGCATTGGGAAGACTGCTGCTGCCACTGGCCCCAGCCAGGAGAAACAGCTTGCTGTCATCCCGCATGCAGATCCCAGGGCCCACACCCCCTTGGAGGGCTGCAGGGCTGTGCCAGTCTCCTCCCAGGTGGCGCGGGCCCCTGGATCTGTGCAGGGGATGACGGCACGCTGCTGCTGCCAGTTAAGACCAATTCTGAAGCCAAGTAAGCCCAGTTTTGAAACTCAAAGTGTTTAAAAACTTTCAAAATGTTTCAAGTGCCCTCATTTCATTTTGAAGCTGTTTCAAAGTCTTTTGTTTCATTTTGATTTTACTGTTTCAAGCTTGAAATGCATCAAAACAGCTTCAAAATGAAACAACCAATGAAATTTCTCGCAGCCCTGTTGAAAACCACTGGCTTAGTCCATTTGGACAATGGAGCTGCACTGGATCAAGACCAGCAGCTCAGGATCAGCGTTCCTGTTTCCAGTACTTGGGGAAGACCACGTGTGATTCCCTGTTTTGTTTCTTGTGTTGTATGCTGATAATACACAAGTCCCTTCTACCCACAGGCCTTTGAGCATTCAGAACTGCTGGACAGAGCTCTGCGGTGTGCACTGGAGAGTCAGTCTTTGGACTGTGTGCACAGCTACCTGTGGTAACTACGGCTTCCAGTCAAGGCGTGTGGAATGTGTGCATGTCCGCACCAACAAACCCGTGCAAGAGCTCAACTGTTCTTGGAGACCAAGGCCTTCCAACTGGCAACGCTGTAACATCACCCCCTGTGAAAACAGTATGTTCCTGCAGGAAAAAATCTTCACTGCAGAACCTGGGACCCAGAGTACAGTGGGCTTCTTGGGCAAATATTTATTTAACAAGCTGAGCAATACAGACTGCAAAATCCAACATTTCTACAAGAATGGCTCACAAATTGGTTGTTGTTGTTAGGGGTGGGAACCAGTGGAATATCCCATTGCTAATAAGGAAAAGGGTTGTCTTGAGTTTCTGTTACTGGCATGGAGAGAAAGAAAAGTTAGAAATAGATTGTTTGCCTGAAGGAGAGTAGCTGGCTACTGATGGAAATTCCCAGAGTGGAAGTGGCTTTGAGGTGACAAGCATTTAATTGGGCCTGGAAAAAGTTATAAATACTGAAAAAGGTCTAAGTAATCTGGAACAGCTGTGCCTCTCCCAAAGTTAAGCTTTATATGTCAAGTTTCCATCTGGGTACAGCAGGCAGCAAAAATGCAGATCACTTACCCTTTGCCAGTTATAGTTCCCAAATATTGAGCTTAAAGACCCACTCCTAGAGAATGCTATGTAGTCAGAGATTCTAGTGCTGTGCAGAACACCACTCTGCAGCATCACATTAGGGAAAACAGCACCTATACCAGGTGTTCTCCTCCCTCTAAATGCAAATACAGTGACTTGGCAGACATTCGCCTCCCCTCCCATCCCCACCACATGAGTTGTCTTAATCAAAGAGAATAGGGCAGAGACACAGATAGAGCTTGAAGGTGATGAGATCCTCACCCTCACCCTCTGGGCCAAATAAAAAGGTCAGTGGCATAAATAGGCCCTCAAATAGATTTGGCTAAACAAAGCCTGGGCTGGTATTATATAGTTGGCTTTGAGTAAGGGGTTGGACTATGCAAGCTCACTTCCAGCCCTCATTTTCTATGATTCTGTGATCCATGAAATCCCCACTGCTAGCCAGGAGAGGGTCCTTTGGCAAAGGCACTATGGAAAACAGCTACAAATCTGCCCACTGATGCCCTCAGAAGCCCTAGTGAACCATGTGGGGCTTGTTGGGTGCCACAGCACAGATAATTTTGTGGAGATTTCACACCAGGGCAATACCTGGAGGCTGATGTAAATTAAACTGGCTTCCACAGCTGTTGCAGTTATACCAGGGAACTCCCAATGCCCAGGATTTAAGAAAGAAGAAAAGGTATCTTAGAGCCAGTTTAATCCTTCTATCCAAGACTACAAGTTCAGCTCTAGAACTAGATTGTGTAGAAACCTCTAGGACAACCATTGTGGAACTCAAGCATTGCACTAATGGTCATGAAGGTGCTTAAGGAGGGTAAATCTTATACCTGTTTTATTTACACCTTTGCCTCTCACATAACAACTGACTTCCTATATCTAAGATAGGGAAAAGCCCCAACCAGTGCAGTGAGAGCTACACTGAAATCTGTGTTCCACAAACCTAATACTTACCTCTATTTAGCCTCTTCTCTGATTTCATGTTCTAGAAACAACAGCTGAATGTTAAGTTCTTTGTTGAGCCCACCTGAATTCCCACTTTCAAGGTTCAGTCTGAAGTCCAGTGTCTCAGGGTGCACATGTAGACAGAGATGATTTTTACTGTGCATTAGATTAGTCTAATATGCAGTAAAGTATCACTGGCTACACATGCGCATCAATTACTGGGCATTAAATTAGTCTAATTCACTATTTGCTAGTGCCGGTACTAGAAAAATGGAGCATTAACTAATACACTAAAGCACCTGTGTAGACCCTGACCAGGAGCAATTTGCTCCCAGCCATCCCAGGCAGCAGGGGGCCACTGCTGCCTGGCTAAGCCCCAATTTCCCCAGAGCCAGGAGAAAGCTGTCCCAACCCTTGGGGCAGTCCCTATTGCCACATGGCTGGGAGGCAGCTGTCCCCAGAGCCGAGACAGCTCTCCCCGCCCTGGAGAGAATGGGACCAGTCCCATCTCCATGCAGCTAGGAGGCACCTGCCTCCAGAGATTGGGACCCGCTCCCATGCCCCCTGCCAGCCCAGGGCTGGCACCCATGGGATCCTGGAGCTCCCCTTGGCTTCTGCAAGGGACAGAAAGGGCAGGAGCAGCCCTAGGCTGAATTGCTCCCATTGGGAACAATTTTGCTCCCAATGGGCACATGTTCAGGTGAGTGCCTGGGCACAGTTTAATGCACCTGAATTTTCTGTGCAGAAAAATCAGGCACGTTAATTGCATATGTAGATGTGCCCTCAGTGAGGTACATGTGCCCCTTTTCCAGGCAAGACACCCTCAAAGAATCACAGTTTCTCTGAGACTGGTAATGATTCCTTCATTGTTTCACCACATTTTTCTTTTTTTATTCCCTTTTGATTAGTGGAATGCAGAGACACCACCAGGTACTGTGAGAAGGTGAAGCAGCTCAAACTCTGTCAACTCACCCAGTTCAAATCTCGCTGCTGTGGGACTTGTGGAAAAGCATGAAGAATGGAGCAGCCAAAATGGAGGAACAGAGCATCAGCCTTTGCTTCACTACAGCAAGGACTCTTACAAAGAAAATACATGGGACAGAATTCGGTTTTTATTTTATTTATTTATTTTCCCCCTTTTTAAAAAAAAGTTTTACTGGATCATTGTTGTAAAGGACTTGACAAGTCTTCCCTTCTACCAAGCTGGAAGACAGAATGCAGCAAAACGGTCTTGCTGGGACCGAAAAGAAAGAGATGATTTGAACCATATTACAAGCAAGACAGTGCCAAGAAGAAATGAGTTGTATAGGAATCCACATGCAGGTCCTGAAATACACATCAACAGAGAGATGGGGAAGTACCACACATCCCATTAGCATCAGATCAGACTACCAGACTGTGAATCAAACAGCTTGACATGCCCTGGGCTGCTGAAAACCTGATTTGAGCACTATACATTCAGTAGGCAGGTACTTAATTTGGAGGGTTTGTGGACATAAAGTTATAGTTTTGCTTTTTAAGAGTGTCTGTTGTCTCCAAGACTGGGTTCCTGTTCCCTTTCCTTTCTCTCACTCCTATAATTAGAATCTAGGCCCAGATCCTCAAATGGTTACTGTCCAAATGCTTTTGATGATCTGGGCCTTGGTATCTGTACAGGAGGCTGAACTGTGGTAGGGCATGAATTAATTTTAAAAGCATCTGAATAAGTGCATAGTTTTCTCCTCAGCAGGAAGAGGCAAAAGGAAAGATGGATTATACAGAAGAGGCAAGAGAGAGACAGAATGATATGCTGTTGACAAACTACATTGTGAACCTGCTGATATTGCTCTATCATTGTGGAGCACTGGCAAGAGATGTGTGTTCGTAGCAACGAGAGCTACTTACTACGATGAATCTAAACATGATTTAAGACGTATGCTGAGTACAAAGGAGCCCACATTCCCAGAATTCAGGGGCTTTCAGATCTGGGACCTGTTATGGACTTACAGCTAATTTTTAGTTTGTAAAAATGGTCTTTATGTCCTGCCAGTGAGGAATGTTTCTCTCCTAATTGCCAAGTCCTCCAGTGATGATAATCACAGCAGCTCAGTTTTCATGAAAAAAGGTTGTTCCTGTTGTTTCTGTACTGTGTGTCTGGCAGTAAACATGCTCCCTACAATGGGTCTCCAAGAAAAATGGTTGTTCCTTTTGGTTGTTCCCGTTACGTAGGTATGCAGAATGTAGTGTCATCAGCATTGGTTTCACAGTAGCAGTACCAATTCTTAAAAGACACGAAAACAAGAATCCTGATTGCTAGAAAACAACATAGTTTTATGTCCACCAACAGAATTCTGCAGATGTGAGCTGAGAGGCAAAGCTCAGATTTCACATCTGTAACATGACTTCGCTTGCTCATTATGGGTCTCTCTCTCCCTCTCTCTCTTCTGCTGGCAGTAATGATCTGGTTGATTCTGATAAGTGCTTCATTAAGCTAAGTCCTGGGTGCTCTCAAGTCAGGTCAGTGGAAATCTAGATTGCTTAGCACCTTGCATGCATGAAAAATTAAAAACAGACTCAAGCAGGAAAATTGGGATCTCAGCTTCCCCAAACTTTAAGGGTGAGATGTCCAGGTCAGAAGCTTTAATTCAGGACCATCTCTACATTAAAGGTTTGGCTGTGGCTCTTATGTTGCCCCAGCAGGGCTCACGTCTTGTGGTGAAATAATAAAACACTCTGAAAGTATTGATATGTTGCAGCTTCCATTACATATGGATTTTTCAACAAGCCTGGAAGTTCTTTTGTGAGGTCAATGTCATTAAATCACCTGCAGTTTGGTCATTCCAAAGTGTGTTTGGCAGTAAACATGCTCTCTACAATGGGTCTCCAAGAAAACTTATTACTAAGAATCAGTGTAACTTTTATTTAAAAAGAAAAAAAGAGAATGTGTTTCTGTGTATGTAAATGTATATCTTTTGTGTATATTTATTAGGATTTCTTGTATAAAAAGTGCAATATTAATAATTGTACATTATGTTGTCCAGATAAAACGATTTTGGGGCTTTTTTATCTCCCTGCAGTTTTGTTTCTGTAAAATCAGTGGTAATAATGTCTTTTTCCTATTTTTAATAGCATTCACATTTAAGTTGGGATATGTTTCACGGTGTACAGAGTTCTTTTGTAAACTATGACATTTGTGGGGAGGGTTTTTTTTAATATGCAACATGGCCGTTATGCATGGAATGAAGGACAGATTCCTTAATAATAATGTGATGGTTGTTTTTACTAAAATAACCAATGAAGGGCAGTGAGGCAAGGTATTTATTTACATTACTTTACTAGCAAGACCTATTCAGAGGATCATCTGTTGGATAACTAACTGTGCTTAGGATGAAGATTCAGAAACGAGGTCTTGAGAGGCCTTTCTGTTACCTTCGCACAGTATGAATGTAATTCTAAATGTTTGTCCTATGAATTGTGACAGCATCATCGCAATAAGATTATAAGGGTTGTTAAATATTATAAAAAGAAGGCAGTCCCTCCGCCAAAAAGCTTGTATTTATATAATTTTGTACAGATAATGCAGCCTATTTATTTAATGATTGTTGTCTGACGACTTCTTTATTATGGTAGTGTTGGGGTGATGTCCCAGGAAAAATAGGAGAGGCAAGGACTTTTGTGGACCAGTATCTTTTGGATTGACTGCATAGTTGAGAGGGAAGTACCCAAACTCGGTTCTCTCAAGATGTCACCCACAAAAATCCTTGCCCCTCACATTGTTCTTTGTCATTAACAACAGGAGAACCAGGGATA